GGGGGTTGTGCTTACAGCCCAACACCGTGCAGGACGTTTGGCATTTGCCAGAGAACACCAAGATTGGCAAATTCGCCACTGGCGCCCTGTGCTCTTCACAGATGAAAGCAGGCTCACACTGAGCACGTGACAGACGTGACAGAGTCTGGAGACGCCGTGGAGAACGTTCTGCTGCCTGCAACATCCTCCAGCATGACCGGTTTGGCGGTGGGTCAGTCATGGTGTGGGGTGGCATTTCTTTGGGGGGCCGCACAGCCCTCCATGTGCTCGCCAGAGGTAGCCTGACTGCCATTAGGTACCAAGGTCTCCCTTGTGAGACCATATGCTGGTGCGGTTGGCCCTGGGTTCCTCCTAATGCAAGACAATGATAGACCTCATGTGGCTGGAGTGTGTCAGCAGTTCCTGCAAGAGGAAGGCATTGATGGTATGGACTGGCCCGCCCGTTCCCCAGACCTGAATCCAATTGAGCACATCTGGGACATCATGTCTCACTCCATCCACCAACGCCACGTTGCACCACAGACTGTCCAGGAGTTGGCGGATGCTTTAGTCCAGGCCTGGGAGGAGATCCCTCAGGAGACCATCCGCCCCCTCATCAGGAGCATGCCCAGGCGTTGTAGGGAGGTCATACAGGCACGTGGAGGCCACACACACTACTGAGCCTCATTTTGACTTGTTTTAAGGACATTACATCAAAGTTGGATCAGCCTGTAGTGTGGTTTTCCACTTTAATTTTGAGGGTGACTCCAAATCCAGACCTCCATGGGTTGATACATTTGATTTCCATTGATAATTTTTGTGTGATTTTGTTGTCAGCACATTCAACTATGTAAAGAAAAAAGTATTTAATAAGATTATTTCATTCATTCAGATCTAGGATGTGTTATTTTAGTGTTCCCTTAATTTTTTTGAGCAGTGTATATATATATATATATATATATATATATATATATATATATATATATATATATATACATATATATCACATTTACATAAGAATTCAGACCCTTTATTCAGTACTTTGTTGAAGCACCTTTGGTAGCGATTACAGCCTTGAGTCTTCTTGGGTATGACGCTACAAGCTTGGGACACCTGTATTTGGGGAGTTTCTCCCATTTTTCTCTGCAGATCCTCACAAGCTCTGTCAGGTTGGATGGGGAGTGTCACCTCCATGACCAAGGCCATTCTCCCCCGATTGCTCAGTGTGGCCAGCTCTAGGAAGAGTCTTGGTAGTTCCAAACTTCTTCCATTTAAGAATGATGGAGGCCACTGTGTTCTTGGGGACCTTCAATGCTGCAGAAAAGTTTTGCTTCCCTGTGCCTCGACACAATCCTGTCTTGGAGCTCTACGGACAATTCCTTCGACCTCATGGCTTGGTTCTTGCTCTCACATGCACTGTCAACTGTGGGACCTTATTTAGACAGGTGTGTGCCTTTCCATATCGTGTCCAATCAATAGAATTGACCACAGGTGGACTCCAATCAAGTTGTAAAAACATCTCAAGGAAAATCAATGGAAACAGGTTGCACCTGAGCTCAATTTCGAGTCTTATAGCAAAGGGTCTGAATACTTATGTAAATAAGGTATTTGTTTTTTTATTTTTAATACATTTGCAAACATTTCTAAAAACCTGTTTTCGCTTTGTCATTATGGGATATTGTGTGTAGATTGATGAGGAAATGTTTTTATTTAACCCATTTTAGAATAAGGCTGTAATGTCACAAAATGTGGAAAAAGTCAAGGGGTCTGAATACTTTCCAAATGCACTGTATATTTGTAATCTCAATTGGATTGAATTGAGACAGAGAGATTAAATAGATTAATGCAATTACAAAACACTATCCCAGATATTTCTACACTACAAAATATACCATATTTCCCTGAGAAGGAAATGAGTCCCTGAGATTCAGTCTGATTAATGTCGATATAGTAGAAAAAAAATGATATATTTAATCTCAAGAGCTACATTTTTGCCTATTTCTCTTTCCTATAAGAGTGAGAGTCTATTTCTCTTTCCTATAAGAGTGAGAGTCTATTTCTACTTCCTATAAGAGTGAGAGTCTATTTCTACTTCCTATAAGAGTGAGAGTCTATTTCTACTTCCTATAAGAGTGAGAGTCTATTTCTACTTCCTATAAGAGTGAGAGTCTATTTCTACTTCCTATAAGAGTGAGAGTCTATTTCTACTTCCTATAAGAGTGAGAGTCTATTTCTTTTTCCTATAAGAGTGAGAGTCTATTTCTACTTCCTATAAGAGTGAGGGTATATTTCTACTTCCTATAAGAGTGAGAGTCTATTTCTACTTCCTATAAGAGTGAGAGTCTATTTCTACTTCCTATAAGAGTGAGAGTCTATTTCTACTTCCTATAAGAGTGAGAGTCTATTTCTCTTTATCTATCATAAAAGGAGCCCACTAGTCCCTTTTGTTGGAACATAATGACATTCCAATTTAAAAGATGCTCTTAAAGATACCATTATATAAACATATACACTATATCTAAACAGAGATATATGTTGATATTGTGTTCAGCCAGTGCAGCTGTCCAGTCAGTTGTCTGGTAGATGTTAAGTCTCACATGTTGTTGCCTGAGACCTGTCCAGGATGATTCAACATTCAACATGTTCCAGATAATTCTTCAATGTACAGAGATATAAAAATATTCCTCCTTTATATTGGGAGACTATAAAGAATAGAGTCCCTGATCTTGTAGTCTGCAGCCAGTGTACCAGAGTAACACAGGTAGGTTGTCTGGTAGACAGTAGCCTCACAGTGATGTCACCTTGCCTGAGACCTGGGGCTTGTATAGTAAACTACAGACTGATGGGAGTGCTGGTGAGAATGGTGTCCAATCACGTTACACACCAACCACCTCTGGTCAGGATGGCTCCTCCTCAAAGTACTGCTCTCTGTCTCTGATAAATGTCATAGTATTCAGACCCCTTGACTTTTGTATCTCATGAGAGAGAGAGAAAGACATAGAGTGTATCTCATGGGAGAGAGAGAGAGAGACATAGTGTATCTCATGGGAGAGAGAGAGAGAAAGACAGAGTGTATCTCATGGGAGAGAGAGAGAGAGACATAGTGTATCTCATGGGAGAGAGAGAGAGAAAGACATAGAGTGTATCTCATGGGAGAGAGAGAAAGACATAGAGTGTATCTCATGGGAGAGCGAGAGAGAGACATAGTGTATCTCATGGGAGAGAGAGTGAGAAAGACAGAGTGTATCTCATGGGAGAGAGAGAGAGAGACATAGTGTATCTCATGGGAGAGAGAGAGAGAAAGACATAGAGTGTATCTCATGGGAGAGAGAGAGAGAGACATAGTGTATCTCATGGGAGAGAGAGAGAGAAAGACATAGAGTGTATCTCATGGGAGAGAGAGAAAGACAGTGTATCTCATGGGAGAGAGATGGAGAGAGACAGAGTGTATCTCATGGGAGAGAGAGAAAGACATAGTTTATCTTACAAAAGGAACAAATGAAGGGAGATTGACAAGATGTATATGTATAGACTACACCTATAGAATGGAAGAGGCATTTTCATTTCAGAGAATTCTATTCTATTTCCCTTTATTCAAATTCACATTGCAATTCTGTATCCTGGTTACTCCTTCAATTCAAATTTAATTCAAATGAAATAATTTAATTGGAATTTGAGGCATTCTCAATTCAATTCGTAACTGACCACAACCCTGTTATACACTACAAAATATAACATATTTCCCTGAGAGTGAAATGAGTCCCTGACATTCAGTCTGATAAAAGCTGGAATCCATAATGGTGAAACAACCACGTCCGTTTGAGATATTACAACAACAAAGAAGCTACTATAAACAACCACAATGTTTTCCCCTCAGACATCATTACATTTTTACATTTTAGTCATTTAGCAGACGCTCTTATCCAGAGCGACTTACAGTTAGTTAGTAAATACACTTTAAAAAAATAAATAAATTCATACTGGCCCCCTGTGGGAATCGAACCCACAACCCTGGCGTTGCAAGCACCATGCTCTACCAACTGAGCTACACGGGACCTATCATTACACACATGATAGAAGAGCACAATATGAACTGCCATTATTTTTACCATGCTGCACGATGCTCCGCAGCTAGGCAACAAAAACAATAACAAAGGTGGTGGGGAGGCCAGTGGTGCTGCTTCCCCCTACTGCTGATTCCAATTGAATTGAATTGAGAGATTAAATAGTTTCGATTCATGCAATTACAAAACACTATCCCAGATATTAATACATTACAAAATATAACATATTTCCCTGAGAGTGAAATTAGTCCCTGAGATTCAGTCTGATTAATGTCGATATGGCTGAAAGGTCATACCTTAAAATATATTTTGTTATAAAGGATATATTTCTAATCTGAAGAGTGATATTTGCACCTATTTCTCTTTATCTATCATAAAAGGAGCCCACTAGTCCCTTTTGTTGGAACATAATGACATTCCAATTTAAAAGATGCTCTTAAAGATACCATTATATAAACATATACACTATATCTAAACAGAGATATATATTGATATTGTGTTCAGCCAGTGCAGCTGTCCAGTCAGTTGTCTGCTAGATGTTAAGTCTCACATGTTGTTGCCTGAGACCTGTCCAGGATGATTCAACATTCAACATGTTCCAGATAGAAATTCAATATACAGATATTTACAAATATAAAACATAAATATTCCTCCTTTATATTGGGAGACTATAAAGAATAGAGTCCCTGATCTTGTAGTCTGCAGCCAGTGTACCAGAGTAACACAGGTAGGTTGTCTGGTAGACAGTAGCCTCACAGTGATGTCACCTTGCCTGAGACCTGGGGCTTGTATAGTAAACTACAGACTGATGGGAGTGCTGGTGAGAATGGGGTCCAATCACGTTACACACCAACTACCTCTGGTCAGGATGGCTCCTCCACAAAGTACTGCTCTCTGTCTCTGATAAATGTTTTGATATCTTCTGAGGTTGTGAGGTGGTATCCATGGCTACCTGTCTCAGACTGTCTGCTCTTCCAGGTCTTCGACCAGGTAGGGATCTACTTCCTTCAGGACCTGGTAGAAGTGTTTCTGGGCACGAGCCCCCTTCCTCACCACCATGTCCAGCAGGGCTTGGTTCTGTTGGGTCTTGGTGGATTTGCTGACCACCTCCTCCCTCTCCTCAGCATTCAGAGCTTTGTGATACTCCAGATGCGAGAGAATGGGCTGCAAGCGTCCCAGACGAGTCTCTAGAGCCATCCTGTGATTTCTGATGAAGCCTCTACCAGTGGAGGTAGAGTGGTTGGCAGGAGGGGCTGCAAGGGAAACAGCTGAAACTGGGAGGGGGAAACTATGTATTAAAATCCTATCTAGGATGATAAGATACTGTCTAAGATGAACTTTCTTTAGTTTGTTATTGAGAGGTTTATAATGGTGATGAATCTCTAGTTTGTTATTGAGAGGTTTATAATGGTGACGAATCTAGTTTGTTATTGAGGGGTTTATAATGGTGATGAATCTCTAGTTTGTTATTGAGAGGTTTATAATGGTGATGAATCTCTAGTTTGTTATTGAGAGGTTAATAATGGTGATGAATCTCTAGTTTGTTATTGAGAGGTTTATAATGGTGATGCATCTCTAGTTTGGTATTGAGAGGTTTATAATGATGGTGAATCTTTAGTTTGTTATTGAGAGGTTTATATTGATGGTGAATGTCAGTGGAAGGTCAACAGTACCTGTAGAGGTGAGTTCTGTTGGTGAGGCTGAGGATGAAAAGAGAAGGTGTTTTACTATCTGATAAAAGGTATATTCATTATAACCAACCATAATCATATGATATAATGACATCATAGTTCAATAACAATAACGCTGTAAGAGAACTAAAAACATGTAACAGTACAACAGGTCTGACTTCATTTAATTGGATTTGAGCTCTGAATGTCTGTTACCTGGCAACCAGACAAGTCTGTTCCATACATTTTCAGTACTGCCCTTTTCTTTCAGAAGAAGATCAAACTCTTTAACAACAGTTTCTAAGAACAACTGAAATGTGTTGGAGTAGTTTTCATCGGACTGGAAAACCACAAATTCTGCTGTCTGGAACACAAAAAGCAAGAGTCAGTATCTACGATCTTACATGTAATGTGAATACACTGAGGTCACAGCTAAATAAATATCTAAAGTTGGAATCTCTTTATGGCTTATAGATATTACTGTTGGGTTGATCCTGTATCCATGTGTAATATTTGTGGAGAGGATATATGTTTTGTTCGGGGTTAGATTGCAGTGAGGAGTTGTTTCAATCAAGGTCTCTTTGTATCCATTCCTTGTCTTCCTCACATCCTGCACCTTGGGAATCAACAATGGACAGATAAATTGTGCTTCAATAAAATACACGTTGTGCAAACTCCAAGCTAAATCAAGCACCCATCAAGTACTTTGTCCGAATTATTTGATTCTGGTTTGGTGTCAACAACTATATTAACATGCATTCTTGTGGCACAGAGAAAATGTTATTTTTCTATGTTGTGTGTTTGACACTGCCAGCTTGATGGAATTCTAGCCAGATAGAAGTGGGGTTTGAAATCTTAGTTATGCTTACCTCCCTGATCACAACATTACTGGGAAGCAACAACACATTCAGGATGGACCTCTCTTCAGGGACAAACAGTTGGTGGAATAACAACACAAGCCCGTGGATAGGGGAGATGGGAGCATCATCATCCGTGACATCACCATAAGCAGAGAATCCAGTGATGTTTATTATGACATGTGTATCTGTTATCTCAAGAGGATGGATAAACTCCACTTTGTCATCATCAGTCATATGGGCTACAGACAGGAAGTCACATCCACCCTCTAGGAAAGAAACAGAATATCAATTGGATTTCCTCAATTCCTCGCATACTCTCCTTGCCTCCTTTGGAAAAAGGTCAAAGGTTAGAGGAGGCGAAGAGAGGGAATGTGGAAACAAATGCGCTTGTATGAAACGAGACTCTCCTCCACTAGCGCGTTATCAGGCAAATGACATTTACAGGGGTGGAATCCCAGATTACATGTGTAAAGTGGTAAAAGGAAATGTAGTTAGTTGTGCTAGACGTTTTATAGATAAAAGGAGAAGTATTGTTTTTATAAGATAGGCATGCTTCTCTCTTTGAAACAACAGCTGTTTCAAAGGGCTGATTCCGCGGGAGGATAGACCTGAGCATCTTCCGTTCTCCATATTATTATTACTATTATTACTATTATCAATATTATTATTACTATTATTACTATGATTATTATTACTATGATCATTATCTCCGTTCACCTTTTAACAAATTGACACTCTCCTACATATGGCCACTTTTGGGTTTTCGGAGGAAAGGAGGATTGAGGAGTCGAGGATAATATCCACGCATGACTGTAAGTCTGCTAAATGGCCATATATTACTAATATTATTATTATTACTATGACGACTATTACTATTATTACTACTATTATTATTATTACTACTATTTTTAGGCAGACTTTTTCCAATTGAGAATCTCCCAAAAGAGAACATTGTGCTTTCTCTGATATACTACAACAGCAATGACAAATGAGGCAATGAACAAATTAATTTACATTCTTGTTTAGGCCATTCATGAAAATACTCACCAGAATGAATCTGACAGTGTGGGAGGCGTAGTTGACAGACAGACTTCTGAGAGCAGTCGATGTTGAACAGGGGTCCTGCAGGTCTCTTGCCTCTCTTGGCTAGAAGCCTCCTGTCCCAGGGGACTGTCCTATAGAGCACCTCTCCCTCTCCCTCCATCCTAAACACCAGGCCTGTTATACTGCACTGGAACAGACCTGAACGGAGGCACTGGAACCTGTAGAACAAACAATGGTGAAGAATGACATTTTAATTACATTTCCTGAATATGATTTGAAAAATGAGGCATTGTCCTTACAAACTATTCATGAGAAAACAAGTAAAATAATACTGAGTTACCTGTATGCTCCCTTGCCCTCATTATCGTAGATTTCTGGTTCAAAGTTTTCAGGAGACCTCTAAAATGTAAAAACAATAGATTTTAAAGGGTTTGAAGAGTAGTTTAATAGAAACATATTCAACTTGTCTCTCTTTCTCTCTTTCTATAAACATATTCAACTTGTCTTTCTTTCTTTCTTTCTTTCTTTCTTTCTTTCTTTCTTTCTTTCTTTCTTTCTTTCTTTCTTTCCAGTGAGGGTCTTACCATGCGAGGGTCAGTAGTACACAGGCTCTGGTCCCCTACTCTACATTCTGTGATGCTTAACTCGTCCATGGCTTCAGGTAAGCTGTCAGACAGATGCACTCTGACACAGTCCTGGCTCTCTTCTTCCATTGTCCCATCAGTCGCTGATGGCAAGGTGAAGGCCTGTCCAACAATGGGATCATTGGGTTCCAGGAGAAGAGGAGAATCTGCACAGAAATAGTGTATATATCTAATTTTGTTAGTTATTGGTTTAAAGTTGTCTTTGTATTAAATACAGATGTAGGATCTTCATTTGAGCCAGTTTGCTTCAGCAGGAAAATAATCCTGCAGCAACAGGAAATGTGAACTATTATGTATATTATAATTAATTGACATTTTTGTAGGAGTTGATACATTTTTCGTTAGGTCAATTCAAGTGGAAAATACAAACTTCAGAAAACTTTTTAAAACTCCAATACACTACAAGTTTGCATTTCTTGCCGTATAAGAAAATTCTCAGCAACAAAAGAATGATCAAATGAAGATCCTACATCTGTAGGACCATCTCCTTCACTCTTACCTGGGGTTCTAGGAGGACTATGAGATGAGGAACTTGGCATTTCCTTCAACGTTTTTTGAGTGGCCTGGAGGACTGAGGAGAAAACAGTTGAAATGACAAACTCTATATTGACCGTTTATAGAGGTGTTACCTGCGTTTCTGAGATGTGTTATCAAAAGGGGACATAAATGTTGTATCCTCATTTATATGTTATAAAACGAAATAGTAAAGAAGCTGGGACTCTTTTTTGAAACACTCAACATCCTGACTAGGAACAACACCTGTAATTACCTCCTCTGTGATCTCTCTCTAACTTCTCAGCAAGATCACCCAGGTCCATCTTCCTCATTGTGTTCAGTGTGATCTTCACAGCTCCCTCAGGGCCGTATCTCTTCACCATCTGATCCACTGTGTCCTGTCTGTCAGCGTTCTCCAGCTGGCTCTCTGGGATGGGAGAAAAGCCAGGCAGCTGGACGCTAGTCAGGTAACACTGAAATGTCTTCAGCTGTTCTCCAGTGAGCTCCTCCAGAGTGGTCAGCAGCAGAGATGGAACATCCAACATGGAGGGTCTCTAAAATAACAAAGATGATAAGATATAAGGAAGAGAATAGAAATACTGACTACTGATATAAAATAAAGAACATTAACACATTAATATTGGTAGGACATACTAGAATCATTCTATATACCTCATTCTCATACACACACACACACACAGCATATGTGGTTAGTTCACAATGACATTTGACCCTTCTGAAGTGACACTAGTCTTACCTTGATGCCCAGTAACCTAGGCTCCTCCCTCTGCCTCTCCAGACGGTGACACTCCTCTTCATACAGGGTCAACCTGGACACAGGAAACAGTCACACACTGCTCTGTTCCCCTACACCACCACCACATGCTGTGGTCACTTCACTGTTCTACATTCATTTCACAGGTCATGAGGATGATGCAATAGAGGTATAGAAGAGATGCTAGAGGGTCAATTCACTGTTTTTAAAGTTGATTTCTCTCCAGCACCATACCAGTAGATTCATATATTCAATGTTACCAGTGGCTATAGCTATGTTGAGATGTGTCTGTTACTTGAACTCTGTGAAGCATTTATTTGGGCTGCAATTTCTGAGGCTGGTAACTCTAATGAACTTATCCTCTGCAGCAGAGGTAACTCTGGGCTTCCTTTCCAGTGGCTGTCCTCATGAGAGGAAGTTTCATCATAGCGCTTGATGGTTTTTGCGACTGCACTTGAAGAAACTTTCAAAGTTCTTGAAATGTTCCATATTGACTGACCTTCATGTCTTAAAGTAATGATGGACTGTCGTTTCTCTTTGCTTATTTGAGCTGTTCTTGCCATAATATGGAATTGGTATTTTACCAAATAGGGCTATCTTCTGTACACCACCCCTACCTTGTCACAACACAACTGATTGGCTCAAACGCATTAAGAAGGAAAGAAATTCCACAAATTAACTTTTAAGAAGGCACACCTGTTAATTGAAATGCATTCCAGGTGACTACCAAATGAAGCTGGTTGAAAGAATGCCAAGAGCAAAGCTGTCAAGGCAAAGGGTGGCTATTTGAAGAATCTCAAATATAAAATATATTTTGATTTGTTTAACACTTTTTTGGTTACTACATGATTCCATATGTGTTATTTCATAGTTTTGATGTCTTCACTATTATTCTACAATGTAGAAAATAGCAACAATAAAGAAAAACCATGGAATGAGTAGGTGTGTCCAAACTTTTGACTAGTACTGTATATGGGAAGCAGGCAAATGCCTTTCACTGAGCTGTATAAAGACAGACTGACAGGGGTGAGACAAATGATTTTAATTGATCTTAATGCTCTTTTGTTGTTGTTTGCAGGTGCACTATCCTTCTGACCCTATGCAGCCAGGTCCCATCTACTTTTTAACTCCTCGCAAGTGTGGCTTGTTTGGTGTCTGCTGTGAAGGACCACAACAAGTCAACTAGTTGATTGATGAAGGCATGTCATCCAGCAAAGGCAGCAGCGCAGTCAACAACTACATGCACCATTTCTTCACCAACTACGGAGTTGGGGAAACACGTGTGGACCTGAATTATGACAACTGCAGTGGCCAAAACAAGAACAAGTTTGTGCTCTGGTATTGTGCCTGACGGACCAGCTCCAACACAGTCTGGACCTTCACTTCCTGATCACATGATCCACCACAGTCTGGACCTTCACTTCCTAATCACAGGCCACACCAAGTTCACCCCCGACTGGTGCTTCGGCCTCATCAAGCAGACGCGTCAAAATGACCAGCGTAAACACTTTATCCGAGATCGCTGGTTTTGTGAAGGACAGCACTGTGACGGGTCAACATCCCACAGCTGGTTGTACTGGAGGATGGTCATCAGCACTATCTGCAGTGCCTCTATTCACATGACTCTCTCCTAACACACACGCCATACGTTGCTGCTACTATTAATTGTTTTATCCTGCTGCTCAGCCACTTTACCCCTGATTGTATGCATGTAACTACCTCATCTATCACCAGTATCACCGATATGGTTCTTGATATTGTTCTTGTACATCCTTTATATTATTTGGTTCTTTCTCTACTGGCATTGACACTTGTTCATTTTCCTTTATATTGACACAATCTATTTTTAATATTGCTACAATGCAAGTAACCATTTCGCTGTACCGTTTACACCTTCTGCAGAGACCCATCCACTTAGCAAGATGTGGCTGGGGGTTATAGCATTTCTTTCACATGACCCATCAATTTAGACAAGTGTGTCTGGGTAAGCGTCATCTAATACTTATAAAATATTTTCTATCTAGACACTTCATGTTAACCTGGAATTGTTCCTTATTGTAGGCTACTACTTTGACCACTTTTAGTCTTAATCTATACTACACTACTCACTGTTTAGCACATGACCTCACATGAGAATCCTTAAAGAGATGGGTGGGGCTTAAGAGTGTGTGAACAATGCTGAATGGGTGTAGACAAAGGAGAGCTCTCCAGTAGGTGTACCAAAACATTCATGGGCCATTTTCTCAAAAGTGGGGATACAGGTTTATCAACTTTCAAAGCAGAATTACTTTTCCATTGTTCCTTAAATCCAGTGTATGATATACCATTTTATAGCTCTGTGTCTCTGCTTTTATCCAATGTAAAAAACACAATTTCAAATTTTGCTACATCGAATCAAGGCGGTTGGTCACATATATTCTATGTCCACTCTGAGGGGTGGCCCTGGCTGTACCAGGTAGATAATAGATAATATACTCTATGTCCACTCATATCCACTCTGAGGGGTGGCCCTGGCTGTACCAGGTAGATAATAGATAATATACTCTATGTCCACTCATATCCACTCTGAGGGGTGGCCCTGGCTGTACCAGGTAGATAATAGATAATATACTCTATGTCCACTCATATCCACTCTGAGGGGTGGCCCTGGCTGTACCAGGTAGATAATAGATAATATACTCTATGTCCACTCATATCCACTCTGAGGGGTGGCCCTGGCTGTACCAGGTAGATAATAGATAATATACTCTATGTTCACTCACATTCCAGAAGAGGTGCAGGGGAGTTCTCCACTCTCCTCCCCTGCTGGCTTCCTTTCCATCTCAGAGGCAGCTTCCTCCTACACACACACACACACACACACAAGTCATACACGGCTATACAGAAATATAATCACAGCCTTTTTGTCTAATGGTGTGTGTGTATGTGTGTAGGGATGCAGTCTGACCCCCACCACTCATAGTGTACGTGAGAGATTAGATAATTATCTAGACCAGGGGTGTCAAACGTACGGCCCGCGGGCCGGATCAGGCCCGCAAATGGGTTTAATCCGGCCCGCGAGATGATTTAAATAAAAATAAAATATAAAAATGCGCTGCAATTTTTCAATAAAATAAACTGCTGTTCCAATTGCGTCCACTGGATGGCGCAATAGCAATTGTGTTAAGCAAGCAAACTGTTTATACCGGGGCAGAGCAAGTAGGTCAAGCACGTGCAGCCAATGAGCTACTTTGTTTTGCCCGCGATATTTATTACGGCTTCTACATTTAACATTATGTGCTTTGGCACCCTCATTGCCCCAATATGTCTCTGTCAAAAAAGAGAAAAGTGGACGCAGAGTGCAGAGTGTTCCAAGAAAAATGGTCATCCTATTTAATCACGGAATTGAATGGGAAAGCTGTATGTTTGGTGTGTTCAGAGCATGTTGCAGTGCTGAAAGAATATAACCTTCGTCGCCACTATGTGAGTCTTCATGCCGACAAATATGACAACTTTCAAGGACAGCGGAGATGAGAGAAGGTGAATGAACTGTTGGCGGGTCTGAAGAAACAGCAGTCTGTGTTTACTCACAGCCGAGACATCAGTGACGCTGCAGTGAAAGCTAGCTACCTCATTGCTAATGAAATCGCAGTGGCTTCAAAACCATTTAGTGAGGGTGAATTTGTAAAAACATGCATGATGAAGGCAGCGGAGATTGTGTGCCCTGAAAAGCGGCAGGCTTTTGCAAATATCAGCCTGACAAGAAACACAGTTGCAGACAGGATTTCCGATCTTTCAGTGGATTTGGACAGCCAGTTGAAGCAAAAAGTAAAGTCATTTATTGTGTTTTCGGTTGCAATTGATGAAAGAACGGACATTACAGATGTTGCACAACTGGCCATTTTTTCATCCGCGGAGTTGATGACACATTGACCGTCACCGAGGAGTTCGTGGAGTTGGTGCCGATGACAGATACAACGACAGCAGCTGATATTTTTACCGCACTCGTCGGCGCGCTGGACAGGGTCGGAGTGGACTGGTCCCGCGCTGTCAGCCTGGTTACAGATGGTGCGCCCTCAATGATCGGGAAAAAAGCAGGCGTTGTGACAAAGTTCAGAGAGAAAGTGCAATCTGCAAATGGAGGACGTGATTTTGTTGACTTTTCCCTGTATTTTGCACCAGGAGGCTTTGTGTTGCAAGTCATTAAAGATGGATAACGTCATGAAGGTGGTCATCCAACCTGTTAATTTCATCCGATCCAGAAGCCTGAATCACCGTCAGTTTGACAGCCTTCTCAGAGAGAAAGACCACATCTATGGCCTGCCATACCACAATGAGGTAAGATGGTTAAGCCGAGGTGCTGTGCTGAGGCGTTTCTTTGATTTACGAGAAGAAATTGAACAGTTCATGGAAGAAAAGGGCAAACCAGTGTTAGAATTTCATTCCGCAGAATGGATGCCGGACCTTGCATTTATGGTGGATGTTACAGAGCACCTGAATAACTTGAACAAACAGCTGCAAGGGCGCAACAATCAATCAATCAATCAATTTTATTTTATATAGCCCTTCTTACATCAGCTAATATCTCGAAGTGCTGTACAGAAACCCAGCCTAAAACCCCAAACAGCTAGTAATGCAGGTGTAGAAGCACGGTGGCTAGGAAAAACTCCCTAGAAAGGCGAAAACCTAGGAAGAAACCTAGAGAGGAACCAGGCTATGAGGGGTGGCCAGTCCTCTTCTGGCTGTGCCGGGTGGAGATTATAACAGAACCATGCCAAGATGTTCAAAAATGTTCATAAGTGACAAGCATGGTCAAATAATAATCAGGAATAAATCTCAGTTGGCTTTTCATAGCCGATCATTAAGAGTTGAAAACAGCAGGTCTGGGACAGGTAGGGGTTCCATAACCGCAGGCAGAACAGTTTAAACTGGAATAGCAGCAAGGCCAGGCGGACTGGGGACAGCAAGGAGTCACCACGGCCGGTAGTCCCGACGTATGGTCCTAGGGCTCAGGTCTCTCAGTTGGCTTTTCATAGCCGATCATTAAGAGTTGAAAACAGCAGGTCTGGGACAGGTAGGGGTTTCGTAGCCGCAGGCAGAACAGTTGAAACTGGAATAGCAGCAAGGCCAGGCGGACTGGGGACAGCAAGGTGTCATCATGCCCGGTAGTCCTGACGTATGGTCCTAGGGCTCAGGTTCTCAGAGAGAAAGAGAGAACGAGAGAATTAGAGAGAGCATACTTAAATTCACACAGGACACTGGATAAGACAGGAGAAGTACTCCAGGTATAACCAACTAACCCCAGCCCCCCGACACACAAACTACTGCAGCATAAATACTGGAGGCTGAGACAGGAGCGGTCCGGAGACACTGTGGCCCCATCCGAAGAAACCCCCGGACAGGGCCAAACAGGAAGGATATAACCCCACCCACTCCGCCAAAGCACAGCCCCCGCACCACTAGAGGGATATCCCCAACCACCAACTTACAATCCTGAGACAAGGCCGAGTATAGCCCACAGAGGTCTCCACCACAGCACAAACCAAGGGGGGGCGCCAAAGTTGTCACGCAGTATTATGACAGCATACGTTCTTTCAAGTTGAAGCTGTCATTGTGGGAGTCGCAACTTGCCGGTGGTGATGCAGCTCACTTCCCCTGTCTGAAAAATGTGTGCGCAACCCAACATGTGGCAGACATGAAGCAGTTCAAAGATAAAATAACTGGACTGTTACGGGAGTTTGAGCAACGCTTTCAGATTTATGTTTATATGTTTTTATGTTGATGTGCTATTGTTTTTAATTGATTTTATTTGTATATTTAACCTATTCTTGACTCTGTGGTTCTTGCACTTGTTTGGGGAACAGGATTTCATTATTTGTATCTACATTTCTGCCTGAGAAATGACACCCTGATATAGTTCTGTGATCTGTGAAACAGTTCTGTTAATCACTGAGGCATTGTGTGTTTGTGTGTTCTTTTTCTTTAGAATTTTCAAATAAACTTGACGTGTTTTATGATTAATAGTGATGTTGTGCTTGTACTATTTTGGACACACTGTCCTCAGGTTCCAGCTTTATGTTGTATGTTGATCGTATTAAAACAAAGAAAACAATCTGAAGTTGTTGTTTTTAAGTTATATATACCATGATTTTTCCGGTCCGGCCCACTTGGGAATAGATTTTCCTCCATGTGGCCCCTGAGCTAAAATGAGTTTGACACCCCTGATCTAGACTGTATGTGTGGACTGTATCATTTCATACTGTAGAACTGACTATGACAGTGAGTACAGGTGTTTTAACATATGAGGGTAGAACTGACTATGACAGTGAGCATTCACTCACACACACACTTCAGACTGCATGTGGCTGTGATCTATATGTGATTTGTTCGCAATGACATTTGACCTCTCAGACATGGCTACTAGTCTTACCTTCATTACCAGTGCCCTATGCCACTTCCTCCGAAGACATATAAATTCATCACTGTCAGCATCTGATGAGATGCTCCACCATGTTTCTGTGGTAGATACAGGTACAGAAGAGGAAGTGAAGAGAGAAAACAGTATAATTGTCGTATTACATTGTCCTGTTCATCAACAATTATTCATTTAAATCACGTTGTCTTTGTTTGAAGGAATGTTTATGATACATTTTTCTTAACACAGTTTTACGGTGTTACCTCTTCTGTGTCTGTAATATATCTCTAACTTCTCTGCTAGATAATTCTGGTTCATCTTCCAGATTAGGCAGCTCAGGAAGAGATATACAGCCATGATTAGAAAGTCTAATCCATTTGTGAAATCTTCCCTACTGTATTGGTAATTGTATGTATGGAATATAATGAATGTTGGATTGCTGTTTAAACATAATGGGGTCACCTGGATACATCATGAATAAAAAATTTAAAAGAGAGGTCTGCTGAATGTTTTTTATGAAGTCAGTTGAATGTTCTTTCTGATTAGACCTCCACTGAACTGTGATTGTGATGTATAGATTGATGTACATTCTTGCTACGTTACCTCTATTGTAATATCTCTTTAACTTCTTTGCCAGATCATTCTGGTCCATCCCCCTCAGGATCCTCAGTGTGATCTCCACAACTCTCTCAGGGCCGTATCTCTTCACCATCTGACCCACTGTGACCTGTCTGTCAGTGTTCTCCAGCTGACTCTCTGGGATGGGAGGAAAGCCAAACGGGTTGCCTCTAGTCAGGTTAGACTGAAATGTCTTCAGCTGTTCTCCAGTGAGCTCCTCCAGAGTTGTCAGCAGCAGAGCTGGAAAGGGGGGAAACAGGGGAAATAGAGGGGAAGATAGGAGGGGGGATAGAGAGACAGTTAGGGTCCTTGTCTACAATCCTACTTCTCTGATCTCTCTCTAACTTCTCTGCCAGATCATTCTGGTTCATCTTCCAGATTAGGCAGCTCAGGAAGAGATATACAGCCATGATTAGAAAGTCTAATCTGTTTGTGATATCTTCCCTACTGTATTGGTGATTGTATGTATGTAATATAATGAATGTTGGATTGCTGTTTAAACATAATGGGGTCACCTGGATACATCATTAATAAAAATGATAAAAGAGAGGCCTGCTGAATGTTATTATGAAGTCAGTTGAATGTTCTTTCTTGTTAGACCTCCACTGAACTGTGATTGTGATGTATAGATTGATATACATTCTTGTTCTGTTACCTCCTCTGTGATCTGTCTCTAACTTCTCTGCTAGGTCTACCTGCTTCATCCCCCTCAGGATCCTCAGTGTGATCTTCACAGCTCTCTCAGAGCCGTATCTCTTCACCATCTGACCCACTATGTCCTGTCTGTCAGCGTTCTGCAGCTGTCTCTCTGGGATGGGAGGACAGTCAGGCAGCAGGCCACTAGTCAGGAAAGACTGAAATGTCTTCAGCTCATGTGGGTTCATCTCCTCCAGAGTTCTCTAAAACAACAAAGGTGACAACAGTGAGGAAGGAATAGAAAAACGGACTACTGATATAAAATAAAGAACATGAATATATTAATATTGTTAAGACGTATTAGAATATTTATACTGGTCTCTCAATATCATCATAAAATAGATTACAGTTGGAACTTTAACACACACAGTATGTGGCTATGATCTATATGTGGTTTGTTCCCAATGACATTTGACCTCTCAGACATGACCACTAGTGTTACCTTCAGCACCTCCAGCTTCACCTTCATCCTAGAGATCTCAGCCTCCAGCTCACGACACTCCTCCTCAGACATGGTCAACCTGGACACAGGAAACAGTCACACACTGCTCTGTTCCCCTACACCACCACCACATGCTGTGGTCACTTCACTGTTCTACATTCATTTCACAGGTCATGAGGATGATGTAATAAAATATGTTATGGTAGAGTTGTTAATATTAGACTCATTTCATCGTATTATGTCCACTCACCTTCTATAGGAGGAGGTTCTGGGGAGTGTGGCAGACTGCTCATCCACGTTGAACTTTGCCAGCAGCTACACACACACACACACACACACACACAGACAAACATACACACACAGTAGATTGCAGTGTCTTCAGAGAATATTGTGATCTACTGTATGTGGTTTGCTCACATTGACTATAGACATGGCCACTAGTCTTACCTTGAGCACCTCCAGCTCCTCCTCCGGCCTAGAGATCTCAGTCTCCAGAAGACGACACTTCTCTCTAGACCAGGTCAAACTGAACACAGGAAACAGTCACACACTGCTCTGTTCCCCTACACCACCACCACATGCTGTGGTCACTTCACTGTTCTACATTCATTTCACAGGTCATGAGGATGACGCAATAGAGGTATAGAAGAGATGTTAGAGGGGCAATTCACTGTTTTTAAAGTTGATTTCTCTCCAGCACCATACCAGTAGTTTCATATATTCAATGTTACCAGTGGCTATAGCTATGTTGAGATGTGTCTGTTACTTGAACTCTGTGAAGCATTTATTTGGGCTGCAATTTCTGAGGCTGGTAACTCTAATTAACTTATCCTCTGCAGCAGAGGTAACTCTGGGCTTCCTTTCCTGTGGCGGTCCTCATGAGAGGAAGTTTCATCATAGCGCTTGATGGTTTTTGCGACTGCACTTGAAGAAACTTTCAAAGTTCTTGAAATGTTCCATATTGACTGACCTTCATGTCTTAAAGTAATGATGGACTGTCGTTTCTCTTTGCTTATTTGAGCTGTTCTTGCCATAATATGGAATTGGTCTTTTACCAAATAGGGCTATCTTCTGTACACCACCCCTACCTTGTCACAACACAACTGATTGGCTCAAATGCATTAAGAAGGAAAGAAATTCCAGAAATTAACTTTTAAGAAGGCACACCTGTTAATTGAAATGCATTCCAGGTGACTACCAAATGAAGCTGGTTGAAAGAATGCCAAGAGTGTGCAAAGCTGTCATCAAGGCAAAGGGTGGCTACTTGAATCTCAAATATAAAATATATTTTGATTTGTTTAACACTTTTTTGATTACTACATGATTCCATATGTGTTATTTCATAGTTTTGATGTCTTCACTATTATTCTACAATGTAGAAAATAGCAACAATAAAGAAAAACCCTGGAATGAGTAAGTGTGTCCAAACTTTTGACTAGTACTGTATATGGGAAGCAGGCAAATGCCTTTCACTGAGCTGTATAAAGACAGACTGACAGGGGTGAGACAAATGATTTTAATTGATCTTAATGCTCTTTTGTTGTTGTTTGCAGGTGCACTATCCTTCTGACCCTATGCAGCCAGGTCCCATCTACTTTTTAACTCCTCGCAAGTGTGGCTTGTTTGGTGTCTGCTGTGAAGGACCACAACAAGTCAACTAGTTGATTGATGAAGGCATGTCATCCAGCAAAGGCAGCAGCGCAGTCAATTACAACATGAACCATTTCTTCACCAACTACGGAGTTGGGGAAACACGTGTGGACCTGAATTCTGACAACTGCAGCGGCCAAAACAAGAACAAGTTTGTGCTCTGGTATTGTGCCTGGCAGACCAGCTCCACCACAGTCTGGACCTTCACTTCCTGATCACATGATCCACCACAGTCTGGACCTTCACTTCCTGATCACAGGCCACACCAAGTTCACCCCCGACTGGTGCTTCGGCCTCATCAAGCAGACGCGCCAGAATGACCAGAGTAAACACTTTATCCGAGATCGCTGGTTTTGTGAAGGACAGCACTGTGACGGGTCAACATCCCACAGCTGGTTGTACTGGAGGATGGTACGGTGCTATGGCTGGCAACAACACCTGACTCCGTACTTCAGGTCGCTGCCACAGGTCAAGCAGTACCAGCACTTCATTGTATTGTAGGAGGTTATTCTTCTTATCTAAACTAAGGAGGTGAATTGATGTTATGTCTTCTAATTTTGTTGTTGTTATTTCCTGTTTTACAGCTTCGATGCTCTGGAGCCTGGTGTTGTTGTTGACAAGGAGCGTTCGAACTCAGCTGCTAAGCAACACTGACATCATTCCTCACATAGATGGTCTGCCTGTACAAGCACCACCTGGACTGGACACAGCTAGACAAACTTATATTTTTGAGAAAATCAGGGAGTTTTGCGACGAAGAGGCTATGGACATCACATGCCCTGCACCAAAGTCAAGGGCAGGACAGAAACAGACTCTCCGAATATTGATTCCCTTGTTCATGCGTGGTTCTGACGGACCAGTTCATCACTGGGGGCGAGTTCCCAGTCATCAGCACTATCTGCAGTGCCTCTATTCACATGACTCTCTCCTAACACACACGCCATACGTTGCTGCTACTATTAATTGTTTTATCCTGCTGCTCAGCCACTTTACCCCTGATTGTTTGCATGTAACTACCTCATCTATCACCAGTATCACTGATATGGTTCTTGATATTGTTCTTGTACATCCTTTATATTATTTGGTTCTTTCTCTACTGGCATTGACACGTGTTCATTTTCCTTTATATTGACACTATCTATTTTTGATATTGCTACTATGCAAGTAACCATTTCACTGTACCGTTTACACCTTCTGTAGAGACCCATCCACTTAGCAAGATGTGGCTGGGGGTTATAGCATTTCTTTCACATGACCCATCAATTTAGACAATATACTCTATGTTCACTCATATCCACTCTGAGGGGTGGCCCTGGCTGTACCAGGTAGATAATAGATAATATACTCTATGTCCACTCACAGTCTAGAAGGGGTCCTGAGGAGTTTGCTGAACGGCTCTTCACTCTCCTCCCCTGCTGGCTTCCTTTCCTTCTCAGAGGCAAATACCTCCTACACACACACACACACACACACACACACACACACACACACACACACACACACACACACACACACAAAGTTTACCAAGTACAATGTAGAACATAAACTAGTTCAGCCTTCTTCACCCCCCCCCCCCCTCGAATGACGTTAAAGGACTAGCTATAAATTCATAGGATATTACTGCGTTATGAATTCATAGCTAGATAATAACCTAGACATTTTAATGTTGGCCTATGAACTATTACATCACGTTGTTGCGTTTCATCGTGCAAGTTTCGTTTTCGGCACATCCCAGTTGCTGGAATTGAAATATGAAACGGATACAATGTAGCCTACTTTACTATCAACAAACTTTACCAGAGACTTTACCACTAATATATCGACGAAATAACAGCATACTCTGTTTTCTCTATTTTCTTACCTTTGATGGGTCCATTTTTAGACACTACAGGTGCAGACAGCCGACAGGAAAGTAATGAAGCATGATAGTAGAGCGCTAATTTCCTTTCGTTTTCAGCAGCCCATCCCATCCTGTGGCACATCCTCCCTATTGGTCTCTAGTAGTGCGTCGCCCTCTAGTGGACAAACTGACACCAAACCAAAACAGGTGTGAGAGAGAAGACATTCTTATCCAGCAATAAAGTCGATACAACATCTTTGATATTATCTTGTTCTTTATGTTTCCAGTTGAATCACAGGTTGTATTTGTAATTAAACAATGTTCTGATTCCTTTAGTGGCTTTGTGGGATTGATTTAACATACGAAGAATACATCAAAAATATATGTTGTTCATCGTAGGAGTAGGGTTGCAAAATTCCCGGGAACGTTCAATAAATTGGTGATTCCGGATTTCCTGCGTATTCTCTCCTGATTCCGGGAATCCTCCAACAGGGATTTCGGGAAAACCAGGGAAACCTATGTAGGACACTTATCCTTGTCTTTAGGGCATCCTGGTGGTTCAGCAGGAAATTACACTTTAATGTGTGATGATTGGGAAGAGGTGGAGGTGGAGGAAGAAGTGGAGCCATGGGCATGTGGTGCTGTGAGGGAGAAATGAGAGAGAGTGAGAAAGAGAGAGAGAGAGAGAGAGAGAGAGAGAGAGAGAGAGAGAGAGAGAGAGAGAGAGAGAGAGAGAGAGAGAGAGAGAGCGCGAGAGAGAGAGAGAGAGAGAGTCAGCCTAAAACATGTAATACATGTTAGATGGAAATGAATACAGTAGAGTATACTCAAGATGCAATTGACACATGGTATCATATCATCAGACAGGTCAATTCATACATGTTGTCATATTTCATAAGACAGGTCAATTCACACATGTTATCATATTATCATCAGACAGGTCAATTCATACATGTTGTCATATTATCATCAGACATGTAAAGTGTCAGTCCCATGTTTCATGAGCTGAAACAAAAGATCCCAAAAATGTTCCATATGCACAAAAAGCTTATTTCTCTCAAATTTCTCTCAAGAATTTGGCAGTATGTCTAACTGGCCTCACAACCGCAGACCACGTGTAACCTCACCAGCCCAGGACCTCCACATCCGGCTTCTTCACCAGCGGGATCGTCTGAGACCAGCCACCCTGACAGCTGAGGAAATGGAGGAATATTTCTGTCTGTAATAAAGCCCCTTTGTGGGGAAAAACTCATTCTGATTGGCTGGGCCTGGCTCCCCCAGTAGGTGGGCCTATGCCCTCTCAAGCCCACCCATGGCTGTGCCCCTGCCCAATCGTGAAATCCATAGATTAGGGCCTAATGAATTTATTTCAATTGACTGATTTCCTAATATAAATGTTTGTTCAGTATAGATTTATGTAATTGAAAAACACTATAAGATATTATATACACCAGGGTTTTGCTCAATTCAGAATTTGGGAATTGACTCCCATTCAACTCATGAGTTGAAATTCAAATTCAATTGGCCACACCCCACAGGATGTAGAATTTGAATTTCCGTGACAGGAAGTATAATTTAATTCAGTGCAATTCTTTCTTTTCTTTATTTAATTTAATTCCACTGACTTCAACTCTATTTCCTTTCATTAAAATTGCAATTCTGTATCCTACTTATTACTTCAATTAAAATTCAATAATTGAATTGGATTTATGAGCCATTCTCAATTAAATTCTGAATTGACCAGGACCCTGTTATACACTGCAAAATATACATATTTCCCTGAGAGTGAAATGAGTGCCTGTCATTCAGTCTGATTAAAGCTGGAATCGTTAATTGTGAAACTGCCACGTCCGTTCGAGATATTACAACAACAAAGAAGTTATTGGGAACAACCACACTGTTTTCCCCTCAGACATCATTGCACACGATAGAAGAGCACAATATGAACTGCAATTATTTTACCATGTTGCACGACACTCCGTACCTAGGCAACAAAAACAATAACAAAGGTGGTCATAGATATTAGTATTCAGACCCCTTGACTTTTTCCACATTTTGTTATGTTACAGCCTTATAAAAAATAAATATATTTTTAATACATATACAGTGGGGAGAACAAGTATTTGATACACTGCCGATTTTGCAATTTTTCCTACTTACAAAGCATGTAGAGGTCTGTAATATTTATCATAGGTACACTTCAACTGTGAGAGACGGAATCTAAAACAAAAATCCAGAAAATCACATTGTATGATTTTTAAGTAATTAATTTGCATTTTATTGCATGACATAAGTATTTGATCACCTACCAACCAGTAAGAATTCCGGCTGTCACAGACCTGTTAGTTTTTCTTTAAGAAGCACTCCTGTTCTCCACTCATTACCTGTATTAACTGCACCTGTTTGAACTCGTTATCTGAATAAAAGACACCTGTCCACACATTCAATTCAACAGACTCCAACCTCTCCACAATGGCCAAGACCAGAGAGCTGTGTAAGGACATCAGGGATAAAATTGTAGACCTGCACAAGGCTGGGATGGGCTACAGGACAATAGGCAAGCAGCTTGGTGAGAAGGCAACAACTGTTGGCGCAATTATTAGAAAATGGAAGAAGTTCAAGATGATGGTCAATCACCCTCGGTCTGGGGCTCCATGCAAGATCTCACCTCGTGGGGCATCAATGATCATGAGGAAGGTGAGGGATCAGCCCAGAACTACACGGCAGGACCTGGTCAATGACCTGAAGAGAGCTGGGAACACAGTCTCAAAGAAAACCATTAGTAACACACTACGCCGTCATGGATAAAAATCCTGCAGCGCACACAAGGTCCCCCTGCTCAAGCCAGCGCATGTCCAGGCCATCTGAAGTTTGCCAATGACCATCTGGATGATCCAGAGGAGGAATGGGAGAAGGTAATGTGGTCTGATGAGACAAAAATAGAGCTTTTTGGTCTAAACTCCACTCGCCGTGTTTGGAGGAAGAAGAAGGATGAGTACAACCCCAAGAACACCATACCAACCGTGAAGCATGGAGGTGGAAACATCATTCTTTGGGGATGCTTTTCTGCAAAGGGGACAGGACGACTGCACCGTATTGAGGGGAGGATGGATGGGGCCATGTATGGCGAGATCTTGGCCAACAACCTCCTTCCCTCAGTAAGAGCATTGAAGATGGGTCGTGGCTCTTCCAGCATGACAACGACCCGAAACACACAGCCAGGGCAACTAAGGAGTGGCTCCGTAAGAAGCATCTCAAGGTTGTCGTGTCCCGTCGGATGTTGGTGGTTATTGCTGTCAACAAAGAGTCCGCTTAGGCTGCACCTTGATTAGAAGCTTTTATTACTATCACAAGTTTACAGCATAAGTTACAGACCCGCGGTGTCTGGAGAAGCACCGTCCCAAATTAATCTGAATGCTTCTGCCCGCTCTTTGTCTAGCTCCTACTTATAAACAATGGCAAAAATGGGTTGCTCCCTCTTTCGTCCAATCACCGGTCCCCCCTGGGGCGTCACCCTACAACTGCTACATTTAAACTAAGATAAACAGTTTTTCTTTGTCCCTCAAGACTAGTCATAATCTTCATACACGACATATCCCCCCTTCGAGAAAAAACTAAAAGTCTCGAAATCAAACAGAATAGGATTATGACCAGTAACAATTTATCTTATTGAGTATCTTTAACATTAAACCAAAAACATTCTCCTCTAGAGTGTAAATACCATTCTATGAAATATGAATAACTGTTTATGAAGTGTGAATACATTACTATGAAATATGAACAAATCTTTATGGAGTGTGAGAGCGAAAAACCTGTCCGGCAGCCATCTTTCCAGATATCCATCCATCAATCAAGACAGTAAAATTCCCTCACGGTCCCTCTGCCCCAGGCAACCACCTAGGTACTCCCGATAAACTCATAAACAATGTAAATGCATTTGAAACTATGATGCAATTAAATACACATGTAAGCCCCTGCAAACAAAATCCTATCCAAAAAATGTCCACTCTAAGGCTGGTCAACCCATTGGACCCTACAGTGGACCTCTCCCTGCCTAGACTCCCTGTCCCTAAGCATCAACGAAATAAACAAAAACATCTAAGATCCCCACATGTATCCAATAACATCAAACATCATTCTACAAAAATTAATACCTAAGAATATGACACAATTATGTATTACACATGCAAATATGTCTATATTTCATTGCAGACACTGGAATGTAGTCCACTACACTTCATCTCCCCGTAGTCTCGACTTCCAATGGATTGTTGATGATGGAATCGGAATCTTTCCACACCTTTCTTGTTTCATCTCCTCCAGTCATTGTCCTTTCATATTGTCCCTTCATATTGTCCTTGTTTGAGTATTTCAATCTCTACATGTTCCCCCAAATGCTTCTGGAAGAAAAGAAAAGACCAAACAGTATCTTTTGCAAAACAACACTTTCAAATTAAACATCAATATCAACTAAGAATATAAAAATGATATATAAATGATGTATGAATCACATTAACCCACTTCCCCCCTTTGATTCATAAAATCATACTAAAATCACACTAATATTGAATTTTTTTTTGAAAAATGATCAAAACATCAAAAATGATACTTATCCATTCAGTTCCACTTGTCCATCTTCATCCAGATCAGGAACAGTCAACACCGGCATCTGAGTGTTGTCTCCAGGCATCACTCTCCAACCTATCTCAATATCATAGCTTTCTCAAAGGTCAGTAACAAATTACAAACATCACACACAGTGCTATCAAAGCTGCAACTAAAATCTGAACCATCACTGCTCCTATTGGGCCTAACTGATCTTGCAACCAAGACTTCGCTGACCATCCAGCTCCCTCAGATCTCCCAAACGCATCCCTTATATTCTTCAACGCATCTATAACACTCGTGATATTATCGGAACTATCTGGGATCAAAATATAACAATCATCCCCCGTTAGATTCATAGCCAAAAATAAGCCACCTTGTTTTGCTAAAATATAGTCAAGAGCCATGTCATGTTTCAACAGCGTCAGTCT